AGGGCGGGAGGGTGGGAAGGAGTGAGAGGGGGAGAGAGAGATGAGCTTAGATCTCGTCAATCTACCGTTGCACGATGCGCATTCCTGACGTAAACGTGATTTTTTTTTCTTTCTTGCTGCAAGATGTTGTGCGAATTTGTATTCTCGACATTTTTTTGTAGCACTTTAGCATGGTCATTTCTCTGTGAATAGCACTCTTATATTTGCGATATCCGTATCATCTATATTATCTATTTGTTATTATACATTATGCGAACATTAGTAAGTTTCTTATGTACGTTTCCAGGTAATCTAAGTGGTAACAATGTCAGTGCATTATAAATTTAAATCCACCCTGGACTATGACACCGTGTCGTTTGATGGACTGCATATTTCCGTAGCAGATTTAAAGAAAGCTATTTTTCATCAGAAACGCATCGGCAAGAATACCGACTTTGATCTGCAGATTACCAATGCACAAACGAAAGAAGGCAAATATATCATATTTTCTCACGGAGAAATTGCTCCTTTTTCATTGAAATGGTACTTGGATTATGTATCGGATGTTTAATTAACGGTTAATGTATTTCCATAGATTACACCGATGATAATGCATTGATCGCCAAGAACACTAGCCTTATTGTTGCTAGAGTTCCACTCACGGTACAACAAAAGCGTTCTTGGGACCGAAATGAAACCCCTTCATTTAATAACTTAAAGGACGAGACTAACTTGGGTAGAGCCGTCGATCTCACGAGATTGGATGGCTCCGAGGAGGATAAAATCCGCGCGATGATGACACAGTCGACTCAAGATTACGATCCGTCTAAGTAAGTAATTTAATCATTTATTAAGGCCTGTTTTAGTAGTTGTTACTTGAAACTTGCTTCAGGTTGTTGTTGAAATAGCCAGATCTGAATTCAGGGAAATATGAGTTTCTCAGTTGAATAGCGTGTACAGATGTGTTGTCAAATATGTCATACGATTCAACTGAAAAGCTCAGATTTAACTTGGAATTAAAATCTGAGTACCTCACGAGTTTCAAGTGACAACTATTAACACTGACCTGAGTGTGTTAATTTGTCATTTGTTGAATCACAACACATGTGAGGCCACATTTTCACATAAGCCAAACCGCACATTGGGTCGAACTATAGGTAGCTTTTCTTGTATACAGCTATATGAAAATTCGTGGAGCAAACCAGACTGGTGACGTGCCTGCCAACTATCGTTGTTACAAGTGCCATCAACCTGGACATTGGATAAAAAACTGCCCATTAGGTACGAATCAAGAACCGATCGAGATTAAGAAGAGTACAGGCATTCCCCGTAGTTTCATGGTGCCAGTTGAAGGTCCTCTGGTACCTGGCGCTATGATGACACCTACAGGACACTACGCTGTTCCTGCTATCGATCAGTAAGTTTCAATCGCAATATCTAAATTTGACCGATGGACTCACTTAAATTTGTTTATAAAACTTGATAAATATTATATATATAATATATATATATATATATATATATATTTAAAACACATTGTTCAGAGAGTGATTGTTACTTCTTTCTGTTACTTTTAGTCAAGCTTACAAGGAAGGCAAGAAGGAACGACCGCCGTTTTCTCAGGATCCAGAGCCCGTAGTGGAGAAACCGGAGATACCGGAGGATCTGCTATGCAATATCTGCAAGGATCTCCTGACGGACGCGGTGATGATCCCGTGTTGCGGAAATTCCTTTTGCGACGAATGTAAATCTTCATAAATTATTGATGTCTAAGAAATACCTTACCTTGTATATTCTCCTGCCGAGATTATCACGATTATGCTCACACGTCTCTTTTTTTCTCCTTTCGGTATTACAGGTATTCGCACATTTTTACTAGAGTCTGAGGAACACGAGTGTCCGGATTGTAACGAGAAAGACGTGTCGCCGGAGACTCTTATTCCGAATCGATTCCTCCGTAACGCAGTTATGAATTTCAAAAATGAGACCGGCTACGCCAAGAGACAAACGTATCGGCCTCCTCCTCCTGCGCAGAATACTGGACAGCAGCCGGTGGCTGTGCCACCGATCGAACCACCGAAGGTTGAAGCGCAGCAAACCACTAGTCAAGCTTCTCCTCAAACTACGCAATCGTCCTCCGTTCCTAGCGCACCGTCTCAAGAATCGGCAGAACCGCCGCAACCCGTCAATCCCGAATCAACAACCTCGCAACAGATTCCGGCCACCTCTAGCAGTTTGCAACCACAGACGCCGAGCAGTAAGTGTTTCTCGACACATATAATTTTTGTTACTGTTCCTATGTATATTATACATATATATATATATATAATTCTACAAGAAATAAATAGATCTAAGATATTGTGTAATGTATAATAATAGATTTGTGATAATTTTATGATATGTACTAGGATAATGCAATCAAAATGGCTGTATTCTTGTATGATGTTTTCTTGTGTTTGATAGTTATAGTCCGTCATTGAGTCTTGATTAGTGTGACATATTAGTGTGCAACAGCATACGTCATTTCTTACCGAGAGTGGTGCTTACTTAATCATATCAGGGACCTTCAATAATTAATTGCTGAATTCATTAAAGTTCAAATATTTTGTTATATTGATGTAAACTTTGTCGAGTCTAACTCGATTGTTGACTTGGTTAAATACTTGCCTATAACATTTTATAACAGTCTTGTCTGTAATACATTTAGTGATACATTTATTTGGATAGATGTACATTTACACGATATATACTTGTCAAAGTTATTTTTATATCAAGGATATCAATTTTAAAAGATTTTCATCGTTCTATTGATGATATTTTCAAGTTACCTAATATTACAATATATATATATTTATTTATCTAAATCTATACATTACTAATAATATATTACTAATAACACATCAAACTACAGCATATACATAGAAGGTTTGTATTAGTTCTTAGCAATATATGTATATAGATACTATAGAAAACAAAATCACACATAGTAATTGATATAATTTAATTAGGTACTGGAGAAAGAACAAATTTTCCGATAGTTTTTCCAAAGGCCTCCTTTAAAAAATATAATACACTATTCTAAATTACTTATTAGTCATTTTTGTTAATAATCATAATTATATATTATTTTCTTCAATTAATTTGAGTTGCACAAGTATCCAAATTTAATTCAAACATATTGATTAATAACAAGGTTATATTTTTTTTTTTTACATTTTTTCGTCAGATCTCAAGATATATAAAATGTCTCCCATCTCACATATACACTAAAAAAAAAAAATAGAAGGGCAAATAAATAACCTCTCAATTTCTCTGCTCTCCTACGCGGATCGTCGTTTTATATCGCGCACTGACAAAAATGATGTATTTGCATACAGAGTATATGTGAGAGAGCATATATATATATATATGCATCATATATATATATATATATCTCGTAAGGTGAACCTCTTTCTACCTTTCCATATATTAAATTTCTCAAAAAACACACATACACACACACAATACATACACATATATAAAGGCCAGACGCCATTATTGAAGTATGTAACCAATGTGGCTTTGGCGTTTTTGTATCACGCAGCGAGTAATACTTGTCGAGTGGCTTGTTGTGCGATTGAGTGCGCTCGGTTGTTATTTAATCTTGCACCGTAATATATATCGTTGACGATATATTCGGGTTTATTCGGCCAGCTGACGATATTAAACACATAACCTCAAAACGCGCGAAAATGTCCCGTACATTAGTGCGCCTCTAACGCGAAATATCGCGACGCCGCTATCCCGCAGCGAGTTTTCGCCCATCCGAGTTGCTTAATCGTATTGTGATGTGCTTCTGACAGCTCTGCCTGAACCCACCACAGAGTCACACTTACAAAGTGATTCGGTAACAAAACTAACAACTGATGAAGAAACTGAGGTGCCTCCTCCTCCAGGGACAGAGCCTTTACTTCCGATCCCCGCTATTGTAAGCTCGCCTGAGAGAGAGCAAGAACGGAACCAGGAGCCACCGTGTCGTGAGAAGAAGGAACGGGACAATGACTATGCAGGAGAACGACAATCCAGAGAACGTCGACGGAGCTTCAGTAGAGACAGTCACCGTGAAAGGTAAACTGACTCAAGCAGAGACTTACTTTCAGTAGAATCACTATCCCAACGCGTTGCTCAGGAAGATATCTCGATCTCATGTTGAATAAACCTAGATTTTCGACGGTTTTCAAGAAAAATGATTAATACTAACTTTAAATTTCGTCGTATCAATCCTATTATATACAAGAATTGTCAGAGTTTAAATGAGAAAAGATACGTTATTGTCTACAACTCAGAGAAACGTATGTCGCTCAAAGCTCAGTAAGACGCAACTCATCCGGCTACGACAATATGTTTACATCGCAGCTTTATTGCTGTTCAAGTGATAAACAAAAGTTGTTTCTCTGTGACAATGTGCAGAAGCGGAGAGCGTGGCCGTCGAATCGAGAACCTAAGACCACTGAGTCGCAGGCGATCCCTGTCGCCCCGGCATTCCCAGCACAGCGATTATCCATCCTCGAGCGGGGGGGTGCCGCCTCACTTAATGAACCCACCTCCTTCCAAAGGTTATCAAGGTCACCTGGGGGATGATGGACATTACCCGCCTGCTATGCATTATGACAGTGGTATACGCAGATCCAACGAGGATCGTCCTGGTACTCCGACGGTAAGCGTGCGCTGCTGCCGATGATGTAAAATCGCGATTATCTGCGTTCACGGATGTTCCCACGTCGCGTATTTTCACCACTGACGTTCCAGGTCGACGAGCCCCACCTGCACGTCCCTTCGTCCGGCAACCAGCCGCCGTTGTTACCGTTCCCGCCGGGCGAGGAGCGTATCCCACCGCCGAATTACAATCAGCCGCCGCCGAACGTGCCGCCGCACAATCCCCCGCTGTTGCCTGATCCGTACATGAGTCATCGGATACCGATATATCCGCATCAGCAGGGCTCACATTACGGACCACCGAGATACGACAGGCCACCTTATCAGCAGCAGGGCTACCGGCCGTCTCAGCCGCCTCGAAATTACAATGGGCCGCCGAGGCCGATCAGAGGATTACATCACAGTAAGCAATAATACTGGATTCGTTGTATCACGAATCGTGAATAGGCACACTCGTCGCTTCCTCGGGCGACGAGTGTGATCGGTTTCGTCTCACTTTAACCGTCTTGTTGTGTGCGCAGTGGGATACAGAGGTTTGCAACCACCTCCGCCAGGGCTGGGTAGAAACATACACAACGGAAATCCGCCTGGGTAAGCTGCGAATTCTTCGTGTCTCAATCGACGGACTCTGTCCCCGCAATTGAATCGTTCGTCTCAACACATGTAATTCTCTTCTTTTCTCAGTATCATCGATGACCCGTTGGAGGCTTTCGAGCGTATGCTCCGAGAGAAGGACGAAAGAGACAGACGTCTTGGGAAGCACCGACGAAGAAGCAGAACACGATCTAGATCCCGCAGCTACAGCAGGTCAAGATCGCGCTCGTTCGGTCGTCGTTCGCCTTTCGCTTCCCGCATCAGTCGATCACGCAGCCCGCCGTCAAAGCGTCGCTCGTCCAGATCGCCGTTACCGCTCAGACCTCGTAGTCGTACACCGAAACGTAGGTCGAATAACAGGTCGAGAAGCGGCAGTTTCTCCATCAGCAGGTCAGCCTCGACGGTTTCAAAGAACCGCCGCCGATGTCAGGCAGGGGAGCAGGCATTGGAAAAGACTCGCTTTTAGTCGTGTTTTTTCAAGCTTAAAACTTTTAGAACACTATTTTTGCTAGTTAAACCGCTCCCATGCCTGCGATACGCACATTTGGCTCGCTCAGCAGTTTTTTCAGCTTCATTTTCGTGTTGCAGATCCAGATCGTACTCCCGCAGTCAGTCGCCGAGGCTATCCCCGTCGAGAGACCGAGATCGCGAGAGAGACCGGGATCGGGAGCGAGACAGAGAAAGAGACCGAGAGCGCGATCGTGATCGTGATCGCGATCGCGATCGCGACAGGGATCGCGAGCGAGATCGAGACCGCGATTTACTGCCTAGATATCGATCGCCAGTGAGATCACCTCCGAGGTGTGTTTTCGATTACCGTTGTCTTATCATTTGTCCATTACGCCCAATTTCACCAACGCCGATAACCTGAGTCTCCGTTTATTACCCCGTTTCTGCCATCATGATTTAAATTTATTGACGATTGACTCAACGGAATTGACGAATCGCGTTGGCCAATTAACTGAACTGATCGATGTGATTGGCCAGTTCCGTTGAGTTAATCGTCGATCAGATTCAGATCACGGTGGTAAAAACAGACATAAGTATTCGAAGAGAGTTTAAACCCAGATCAAGGTTTAATCACGACGTTAGCGAGATTGAATATTAAGACTTCTGGATACTCATTTTGTCTGTTTTTTATCTTTTTATTTTTTATGACGTCAGAAGCGAGGAAAATCGTGCCACTTTGACGGCATATATGGAAATAAAAAAATATACGCACAAAATAACACTCGTGATCGATTCAGCGCATTTGTAATAATGTCCGGACGCTTTCCTTTCACCCGAACAATTAATAAATAGCCGTAAATTAGTGTAACATGCAGCTTGCGTTTTTAATCTATCTTCTCTCATAATTTCTGTTGCGTTAATTTTATAGCTATTTATTAGTTGTTCGGGTTAAAGGAAAGCGTCCGGACATTTTTTACAAGTATACGATCACGTGTGTTATTTTGTGCGTGTATTCTTTTATTTCCACATATACCGTCACATAAATTGGTATTAATTTTCCTCGCTTCTAATGTCGTCAAAGAACAACCAAAGTAAATATTGTGAGGAGCTTTAAAGACAAAGCTTCACGAGGGACGTGTTTCGTCGTCAAATTACATTCGTCGTAACACGAGCGATTTCCCGGTTTCTTTCAGATTCCAAAGAGAAAGGGATCGCGAGAGAGAACGACCGAGATCCCGCGAGCCCCGGGACGGATACAACACTTATTACAGCGACTCGCCGGCTCACGATTATCAGTTCAGAGATCGCGAGCGCGATTTGCCACCTCGGGAGAGGCCGTTGCCGAGATATCCCATAAGGAACCAGTCGTCCCAGCATAACATACCGCCGTTGATGCCGCATCTAGTCACTGGAGGTCACCCACCACCGCCGCTTATGTCATTGGGACCTCCGCCTACGGACAGGAAAGACTATTATGATTCCTACAACAGGTATTTTCGCCTCAATAGTATTTTCATTCATGTACACGTTAAGCAGACAGTCTACCAAGACGATACCTACTTACCGCCGCCATCCCCTGCACAAAACTGCGGAAGTGTGGCGGATGGATCACACAAAAGCGTTATGAAATACGGAAAACCGAATCGTCTTTGTTGTGTTCATTAGCGAGAAACTTGTGCGTACCGGAATGATTCCGCAAGTCCTCTTGATACGATATGCGTATACACGTTGAAGTATATTATTGCATAAATTTGGCAATATGCACTTTTGCACACTGATTTGTAGAGTAAGAATGGGATACTGTGATATTGTCGTTGTCGTGACGTAAATCGAATCAGTCACAATCGATCACGTGTGATATTCATTTGTTTTTTTTATTATATATCAGTGCGAGTAATAAGCTTGCCGAATTTATGCAACTTGTACTTCGTAGATACATTTTAATTACTGCAAGAATGCTACCTTTTGCAAGTTGTATGTGTGAGATTGTGCTTGTACTGACTCGTATATCCGTGATATTCGAGAGATATTGTATAGATTTATGTATACATATATACATATTTTTTTTATAAATTTATATCTTCAGTCTCGCTGAGGGACGAAGAGAAAGACTAAGATGGAGAGTTGCGCTTTTATACATATCACTATATCTTGAATAATTTTCTATTCGAAAACTTTATTACAAAAAATATATACGCTTTTATACATGTAGTTAGACTGTAGTTTGCACTTCAGAAACTGTGATTCGTCAAGACCACAATTCTTGACGCACGAAATTTTTATAGCTTTTACAATTGCGAACATTTTTTTTAAATATATATATATATATATATATTTAAAAAAAATGTTCGCATATATATATATATATATACTTGATATTCTAATTCGGCTCGTGAAATATTAACAAAAAACGTATATTTATTAACTAGTAAATATTTATAGTATAGAGAGTTCAACAAAGTTTTTATAGTTTTAACTCAATAACGAGAGTGAAGCAACGCCGCCGATTAATTGTGCGTGCAGTTTTATATTTTTATATGATCACTATATTATTTATACTTTTAGATTAATATCTTTACAGACGACAAGTAAAACGATAGAATGTATGAATGAGTATGTGAATTATATACATACAATGTGTGAATGAGTGTGTGAATTATATACATATACAGTACTTTATTCCGTGTCACCTTAATGTTTTAACTTTCATTAAGGGATATCGTAGGTTGCCAATTTTTACAATTCTATTTTTTTTTATTTCTTATATTTTTTCTTAAGTATGAAATGTCCAGAATGTATGTGTAAAAATCTGTGTGCAAGTACGATGATAGATAACGGATTTATGCAATTTTTAATGTTGCGGGATCCTCGCTGTAGCGCGTTGAACAGTGACTTGCTTGCGCGCTTTTGACTCTGGAGTGAAAATTTTCGGAACGAAGGTTTCCTTTGTTCTCCCGATATATTCTCTTCTCTACGACTGTTATCCATTTGATCACAAATGGTCCTCAGAAGAGAGAAAAGTAGGCTGCATCTTTACTGGAGAATGCAGTTTGCTTCTCTCTCATCCAGTCTCATATCCCCTTTCTCGCATTATATTGCATTTCGTACATTAAAAATGAATGATTGTAATAAAATAATTAAGCGGACCACAGCTGATATAATTATTGCGACACACACACACACACACACACACACACACACACACACACACACACACATATCGAAGACAATGAAAAGACTGCGTAGGGCGAATAGAGCGCGTTCGAGACGTCTCTCGATGACATTCCCTCGTGACGAGAAAATTTGCCGTCGTCGACGAAAATTTCCACATTGTTGTAGGTAGCGTTTCGGATGAAAAATTGTCTACTCAACACAACATGAAAGAACGAAGCACTTTGATTATATTGAAAATGTATACAGGAATTTACACATTTACACAACTTGAAAATCACTGAAAAGAGATAGAATAAACCTTTGAGTGGAAACATTTATTTTGCGATCGACCATTCTCTTTCTCAACATACGATAAAATTTAAAATATACAAAGTGAGAAACAACATCGATATAAAATTACAAATACAACAATAAGTTGCATGATTCTGAGCAAAATGCGTTTGAACGTTCAGTTCTACAGGTTTATTCTATAAATCACGGAATGAAACGCAGAAGAATTCAAAACAACTGAATCACCCGACTTTTAACTCGACACATAACAGACACACATGCACACACACAATCAAACTCACATATTAAATTTAAATTATAAAATCTGAAATCGATTTTATAATTCAGTGTCTTCAAATTTCACAGTTTTATTACAGACTTGATATGTATTATACTGTGTTCTAATAGTACTTATTTTAATTCAGTAGTAAGTATATATTAATCTGTATGGAGAAATTGTTTATAATTTGCTCTTAAATAGTTACCTGAACGAAGATGTAGGACATATATATTATGGAAGTAAACTATATATATATATTATACTCTAAGTTATTCTATGCAACTATATCTAAGTATGTTTTCTTAAACGGACTTGTGTATGCAAGAACGTGCTGTGATAATTAATTATAAGTTAATTAAGATACATATTAAGTATATACTTACAGTTAAATTAAAACATATAAGCAATAATGATATTAATATATTTAAGATATATCACGTATATTTTGATATACCTTTACAATACATTTAGGATAGTTATATAAATACGATATGTGATGTTATATGTTTTACTAAGTATAATATTCGTTAAATTATATATACACATGCAATTATGCAATTATGTATACATTTAATCATATATATACGATATTTGTCGCTAATTATGGATTAAGTAAGAGAGAAAGAGTTTTGGTTTAGCTTAATATAATAATCTCTTGCTGCATAATTAAGTCTTTCTGTAAGAAACTTATTAATTTAAGTTTGCTCTAAAATATGCTATATGTAACGTACAATACTTTATATAATTTATATAAGGATCATTATACTATACAGTAAGTGTGCTTTATCTACTTGCTAAATGTTACCACAATATTATTGAATATACAATTTTGTAAATTGCATGTGAATGTGATACACTTATTATTATTATATATATATATATTATATATATATATGTATGTATACATATATTACATTATGAAATATGTTAGTAATCTAAAAAGTGCAAGAAGAAGAGAGAAGCAAGGAAAAGCGTCAAGGACCGTCGTGGGGACCGCAGAAGCTAGCCAGCTGATTGACACGTCTGCGTGGTTTCTGAATCAGGTGAATTCAGGACCAAATCAACATTTGTAACGAATAACAAAAGCCACTTGCTCACAAATACGCTTCTCCCATGCTCGGCTCTCAAGGCGTGCTACTAAAAACGTGTATCACGTCGCCAATGAACGAACAGACTGTGCAAACGGCACAGACTCCAATTCGACAATTTCCTCCCGTACCATATGAACTGTCTACCATTTGAACGCGTTCCTCTCGTTGAAATGAGTTGACTTGGCGAGCAACTTAACGGAAATAACGTCTCACCGGCAATCGCGGTATAATTACGAGAAAGCGTATTTCTTTTCTGCTACACATCAAAAAGTTCCACACAAAGTTATGAATGTTGATTTATGTACTTCATAATATTATAACTTTAGTTAATGATGATCTTAACCAGTTTTTTGGGTAATAGGTGGTGTCACGTCCTGTTCGCTCTCTTTCAGCTAGTGCGAAGAGTCGAATTCGAAAAAAGAAAGTGCAAGTACATACGTTCCGGCTGACAGGTTCTCTGGTTCGATTGTCGAATTTTCTATTAAGATAAGTGTTCCTCCACGTATGTGTAGCCGGAGAAGAGACAGGCAGAAGAGACGGGGAGAGTAGTCTCGTTGGCAAGGAGGATACAGAAAGGGATTTCAAAGAGGCGAACACTGACCTTCTGTCAAAGAGAGCCACACGCGTCACCTCAGTCGCGTACATACGATTTTCTCAGGAGTACTTTATCGATACCACTATCAATCTTCTCAATGTAGTATCGTGGGATATCTCGATCGATTTCATTACTAACAACCGTCCGGACGCCGTGTAGAGCGGTGTCCTTCTCCTCCTCCTCTTCCTCCTTCTTCTCGCGTCGTCGTAACGATTTCTAAAAGACGCACGATCATATGTTACTTCCTCCTAAAAGCGCAAAAAGAAGCGGCCTCTGGTCAACGACGAGTCGCACCTACGAGCGTTGTATGATCGTTGCCTGACGAACGTATGTGAAGCGCTGTACTGGCTTTCTGTCGACAGGTATTCCGGTCCGCCGCCCCCGCCGCCGCCGCCGCCGTCGTCGTCGTCGTCGCAGCGTTTCGCCAGTCCTTTGAGGGATCCTCCGCCTCACAAACGATTCGACGACGTCGCACCACCCGGCACCGAAGGCTACTACGACCTCTCGCCACCGGGTGTCGAGCACTCCGACAGGGTCCTGAGGGATGATCGCGAGCGGCAGCGCTCGCTCAGGGAACAGGAGGACCGGGAACACTCATCGAAGGATCGCGACAACGAGGAGCGAGATAGATTGCCTTTGAGGGATGATAGGTAACGTCTCTGAGACGCCCCGATGAATCTCATTGTCGTTCAACACTGAGATTTACCTTGTCGCCGGTGGAACTTGTTGGCTCTTGTTTCGTTTCCTCCGTCGTCTACTTGATAATTATCACAATTTCGTGCTGAGAACATTTGATAATTTCCAGCAAGAGTCAAATAGCGACGTGTATAAATTATCACACAAAAGTAAAATTTAGGAAGTACACAAGCATATGCTAAAATTCATGTATTCACCTTATTTGAGTAACAGAAAAGTTTGAATGAACCGTTTGCAGCACAAAATTGTAGTGCATTGCGGGAGGATATAAATATTCGTCCTATACAAAAACAAAATCAAATGTTTAATTTGTCAACTGGAGAAGATTGTTTAAGAAGTTTCTATTAATTAACCGGGATCCATAATTAACAAGGATCTGTTCGTTCATGGAAAGTTAATCCTTACGTCGCGTACGTTGGTCCGAAAAATTCCTTGGTACGCGCCAAGGAATGATACACGATGTGAACATTTGTATCCTCCCGCAATAATAATTTATGTACGTCGCTACAACAGCTGGGATCTGCCTCCTTATTGTTCTCTTTCTCAGTTGGATATCGACAGAGTGTATTAATACTGTGTTAATATTTGTACTCGACAATTTTCTGCTCTTCAAAGGGGTCGTGATCGTGAGGATCGTATGCGGGAGAGAGACGAGAGGGACCGCAGGATCGCACCTAGAGATCGCGAGGATCGCGACAGGCCGGCTGTACCGAGAGATCACGAGGACAGGATACGGGAGAAGGACGAGCGCGACAGGAGAGAGAAGGAGAAGGAACGGGACGACAGGCATGTTCGCGATCGCCGAGATGACGACCGACACGTCGAGAAGAAGGACTACGACAAGGATCGGTACGTTCTTCTACGTTGCGGAAAATTGCAGAGGCTCTCATACACAAATCGCCAGGTTTTCCGTGCAATTTCGATGCTCGAGCTTTCGTTTGCGATTCGTCGAACGGTCTTCTCGTACCGTCGCGACATTTGCATAATTCAGCAGCATGTTGTCTTTCGTTGCAGTTACAGAGACGACCGAGACCGGCACAGGCAGGACGACAAGGGTCGACCGCGCGAGAAGGAGAGGCGCGAGCGCGAGTACGAGTCCGAGAAGGATCGCGACCGGCACGAGCGATACGAGAGACGCTCGGCGGAGAGGAAGAAGGGCGGCAGGAAGAGCCTGACCCCGTACTCGCAGAAGTCCCGGGGCGACGCCAAGGACCTGTCGCCGGAACGCGCGAAGAAGAAGGAGAAGGATCACGAGGAGAAGGCGGAGGAGAAAAAGAAGGAAAAGAAAATCAAGGAAAAGAAGAAGAAGAAGGACAGCGAGGAGAAGGAAAAGAAGAAGAAGAAGAAGAAGGAGAAGAAGTCGAGCCAGAAGGAGACCGTGGCCAAGGACGAGTCGATGAAAGCGATGGAGGTCGAGGACGCCCTGGCCGAGATAAAGACGGCGGACGACATGTCCTCCTCGCCGCTCAAGGCGGACTCGACGAAAACCTGTAACGAGGAGGACAACATCGAGAGCAGGATGGAGTGCATGCACAGCGAGCCGACGTCGCTCGTGCCGCTGATCAAGGAGGAGTTCGAGGACAAATCCTTGGCGATGAATCCGGAGCCGCCGGAATTCCAGGAGGCCAGTCCAGGTAGGATCGATCACACGGAATTCGGCACGAATCCACCGAATCCGAACTTCAAGCCGATCCCGGAGCTCAAGTCCGACATGAAGCCGATCGACAGCCTTTACGGCGGACTGGACGACACGGAGATCAACACCGTGATCACGGAGAAGTACTCCCTGATGTCGTCGGAGCACGAGGCCGACTCGAAGGAGATGGCGCCGACGGACAAGTCCCCGAAAAAGGACGAGTTCCTGGCGCCCATACCGGAACTGTCCAAGTGGGAGCGCGACGATACGGCCGAGAAGCCCGAGGACGACGAGAACGACGATGCGCAGGGCTCGCCTACGGAGAAGATGCAGACGGACGAGCCGAAGTCGGGGAAGGTCACGTCGGAGGTGCTGAAGCGCGCGGAGAACGCGATATTCCAGAAGGCGATCAACGCGATCCGGCCGATCGAGATCAAGAAGATCAGCGAGAGCCGGAAGATACTGTATCAGAACCCCGAGCCCAAGGTGTTGGAGGTGGTGGAGCCGGCGGCGGCCGGTGGTGGCGGCGGTAATCGGGAGCCGCGTAAGAGCGTGAACGTGACGATCAACGTCGGCAGGAACGAGAGGAACGTCGAGATCACCGAGCCCATGAAGAAGGCCAAGCTCGACCGCACGAAATTCAAGCCCGTCCCGGAGACGTACTCGCCGACCAGACTGTCCGCGAAGGAGCGCCTCGGCGAGAAGATCGAGGACAGCAAGGAGAGGAAAGTAAGCCCGATGAAGAGCTTCCTGGAGAGGCGCGACTCGAAGAGCGACAATCAATCGAGAAGCCGATCCCCCAGGCGGGAGAAGAGGCTATCCTCGCCGATGCTGGAGCGACGTGTGGATCCTTCGTCGTTGAGCCTGACCGCTGGCGAGCGGAAGGTGTTCCTGGAGGACAGGAAGCGTGACAAGGATAGAAGCAGCGACCGTTCCAAGGACAGGTCCGAATTCCGTGACCGGCATGAGTTGAGACCCGAGCGGGAGGGTAGAGTCGATTGCAGGACGGACTTCCGGTCCAGCAGAAGCGATATGAAGGGGGACGGCCGCGCGGACAAGGAGCGCGAGAAGGAGCGCGAACGGAGAGGCAGAACGCCCCCCGCTTCTTCCGGCGGCCTGTTCAAGTCGCGAACGGCGGAAATGTCGAAGATGTGTTTGCTGAAGACCAAGGACGACTCGGAGGAGCGAAGGCGCGACAAGAAGGGGGCGCGGGAGGAGAAGAAGCGGAAGAAGGAGCACCGTAGTCGGAGCAAGTCCAAGGAGCATAAGAAGCGCAAGGAGAAGAAACACAAGAAGGACAAGGAGAAGAATCAGGAGAAGAAGCAGAAGCACAAGGACGGCGCGGCGGTGGCGGCATTGAAAGACAAGTCGGACGGCATCGAGGCCAAGATTACCGGCTACGAGA